CCGGTGAGCGGGGGCAACGACCGGCGGCATAGGTTGGGTGGGGGGAGCGTCGCCCGGGCTGCTCGCCTGTAGCCGTGGGGCTCTGGGCTTCGTGTCAAGCTGCCCTAGCCGGCCTGCTGGTCAGGCAGGAGGAGGTGGGCTACACTGCCTGGCTCCTGGGAGTCACCCACGTTCTCCTCCCCAGCGTAAGGTGGGCAGAGCTCTGTGCACTGGGGCTGGGTGAACTGCTGACCCCACAGCTCAGCCTTGCTGTCACAGCTGTGTGTTGGGACAAGTGTGGGTAGGACTGTCTGCTGACAGCTTTACATGCTGTAACGGTATTTTTGCATCTGTGAACTCTGGAATTGTTGCACTAGACCCAAGGAGTTGTCTCCTGGCAGACCCTAACCAGAGCTTAGTGCCATTGTAAGGGGAGGGGGCAGAAATACGAGTTAGTTGTGATGGGATGGCATGAGCTGAGTCCTACTTGTCTGGTAGGTGTGATGTGAAAGAGTGCTGGGTTTGCTGCTTCTTGAAAGCTCGAATACAGGCCATTCAATAGCTGTAAAACTATTTATGCATGTGAATGCAGGTAAATCTGGGTCCAAAATCCAGAGCACCCCAACAAAGGCTGGGGGGGATCGCTACATTCCCAACCGCAGCACTATGCACATGGAGATGGCCAATTTCCTCCTAACCAAAGAGAATGACCCTGCTGAGGAGTCCCCTACCAAGAAGGTGAGCATGTTGCTAAGTTACAATTACTACAATGATCACTACCGAACACCTAATCCTTCTTGGCCTTTTACAGAGAAGGAAACTGTAAGTTCTATCAAGTGGGCATATGGGGCTGACAGCCCCAGCCATGACTGCTTCCAGCTCTGGGCTTCAGGAGCCTGGGATGATGTGGAAGCTGTAGAGCCTGTGAACAGAACGGGTACAAAGCTGCTACACTGGAGCCTGAGCATAGCTGCTCTGTAGGGATGTTTCCCTAGGCACGGGGAAAAGCATAGAGCCTTACACCTCTGCTTCCACTCACTCTAGCCTGTGCCGCTTCTGGTAGTAAAATTCAACTTTGGGCTAATGAGGCTTCAAAATATAGCAGGCTACAGAGACGCAAAGCTGTGAGCCTGTGCACAGTGAAACTGCTGGTGGTAGCTATTCTGGAATGTGTACACTGTTGTGAAATCTGTTTATGAAGCATTTGGTCCCTTGTGGCTGTGGCTTTCCCCACTGGCAATGAGACAATGAATTTGCCACTCTTCTGTATGAAAATGTGAGCAGGATGGTGTGCCAATGTCTGAAGAAAAATTACTTTGACCTGTCTGTAGCCGATTCCCACAGCACAACTGTATACCACCTGATTCTAGGAGAAGGGGGCTTAGGTGTATGCTCTGCCAGCTGCAGTTTACGTGCAGCATGGGCTTTGTGTTTCAAATGCATCTCACTGAGGGTGGTTTGTCTCTGTAGGAGCAACAGAAAGCCTGGGCAGTGAATCTGAATGGCTTTGATATAGAAGAGGCAAAGATCCTCCGCCTCAGTGGAAAGCCACAGAATGCTCCGGAAGGTATGAGACAGGATCTGTGTGAGTTGACTCAGCTGGAGTGATCTGGACAGGGCAACAGCAACACAGAGGCCCTGTGTGTGGACATGGGTGAGATCAACTGGCTTCTTCTCAGAGCTCCTATGCACACTGGAGTCTCCCTCCTTAGGTTTCCTGAGGTTGAGGGGCTGCATAACAGCTACAGTGAATTTAATTACAGAAGTTAAAATGACTGCCAGTTTTTCACTTGTACTGCGGGTAGCAAACCTTCCTGAGGTCTGCAAAACCTTCAAACTCCCTGCTGTGCACTTTGTAGCTTAACTGTCACTAAACGTAATAGGATACAGAAAACCAAGTGCTTGTCAGTTAAACTTGTCCCTGTGAGTTAAGGAATCGGAGCTCGCTCT